ACACAGCATACATCTAGGAGTGTACGTAAGCTATGTGTACAGTTTAGTCACAGAAGGCCTGTGCATCCACCCCCCCCCCAGCTTTAGAAACAGAGCGTGGCTGGTACCTCTGTAGACCTCAGGGTGCCCCCCTCCCCCATCATGAATGAGTCCCTGTTTCTGAAACAACATGGCAGTGTCTCCACTTAAAAGGAAAGGGCACCTTTTTCCCCTTCACTCTGCTATTGCCACTCTTTCCCAGGGTAACTGCTATTACCAATTCAAGTGTGTCCTTCCAGATTCTCTTATTAAGAGTTTTCTTCCCCCCGCACTTTTTTTTTTTTTAAGAGAGAGGGGCATCAAGGGGCAGGGGAGAGAGAGAGAGAACCTTAAGCAGGCTCCACACCCAGTGCTCAGAGCCCAGTGCAGGGCTCGATCTCATGACCCTGAGATCATCACCTGAGCTGAAACCAAGTCGGATGCTTAACTGACTGAGCCACCCAGGCACCCCCAAAATCTTAAAATTTTTCAACTTTACTTGAACAGGCAACCCACACATTCAAAATTGAATTCAGAAGTACAACAGAGAAGCCAGGCTTCTGGGCACTTCTCTTCCTGAGCAGCCTGGTCCTCCTCAGCCACCACTGCCTGTCCGCGTTCTCCAGAGGGTGTCTGTACGCACACCGCACACACACATTGATTCTTCACCCCCACACCTGTCACACCACCAGGCCGGCGCTCCTCACGTGGTGCAGTGGCCTAGGGACTGTCGGCCTGCCCCGCTCTGCCTCCTGCAAAGATGGCGCCGGGGCGGCTGGATGGCCACCCGGAGCGGCCGCCACTGGCACGCAGCTGATGGAGCTAGTGAACCGTGCCGCGAACGCTGTTTCTGGTGTTCCTCACTTCGGTAGGATATGCTTAAATATGAAATTCTCGTTCTGATTAGTGCTCTGGAGTGTGAGTGTACAGGCCTTTCATGAATTCTAGAAAAATACCAGCCCTTAACTATTTGGATATTGCCTCCTTGCCCTATATGGTTTCTCCCTCTAGAACTTCTTTTGGATACACGGTGCACTGTCCCCTTCTATCATTTGCATCTCTTAACCCCTCAGTCACATTTTTTATCTGTGCTCTGTTTTAGGTCATTTTTCAGATTTATTGTCTAATCCACAAATTCTTCTGAATTTCACTTCAGGAGTGGTGTTTTCATTTCCAGAAGTTTTAGGAGGCTGCCCTTTTTTTTAAAGGTAGATGTCTTAACTCCCCTTTCCCACCCCACTTATTTTGGGTGGGCCTGAGTCTTACCATCTTGCCACTGGTTCCTAAGGTTGGCACCTGCCAGCAAGCAGCCTTGCCCCACCCCAGGCTATCCAGGCTGCTTTCCAGCTTGGGCCCTGGGGCAGCCGCTTGCTTTGTGAACCCAGCAGTGTGTTTTAAAGGCTGTTGTTTATCCAGCAGTACTAAGTGATTTTCAGTGGGAGGGTCAGTAAGTTGTCTGAAACAGAAACCCCATCTTTTGCTACTAAAAACAGTGCTATAACTAATGGTCTTAAATGCCCATGTGTGTATTTGTAGACATATGTTAGATACAGCCTAGATAAATTCCTAGAACCGAAGCTGCTATGTCAGAAGTCAAGTGTATTGTTTGTTGGCTTATTGCCAGATCGTGCCCCAAAGGGGTGTGCTCACATGAGGCGTACATAAGTGCCTGCCTGCCCAAGGCTCCCCAGCCTGGAGGGTCTCACAGAGTTTACGACCAAACTTGACCTTTGTCAGGTAGGTAGGTGACAGGTGGTATCCAACTGTAATTTTAGTTCATAATTTCTCTCATTACCAGTGAACATCTCACACATGTTTAAAAGCCATTAGTATTTTCCCATGAACTATTTTTTCTTAGCTTTTCTCCTATTGTAATATTGGGTTGCCAGTCTTTACTTTCAATTTGAAGGACATTTTTAAACAAGAAATTAGCCAGTTCTCTGTTGCAAACATTTCCGCCAGTTTATCGTTTGCCTTGATTTTGATATTTTTTTCCCCATGTGGGAAAATTTTAAACACTTTTATAGTTATCAGTATTTTCCCTTTTGACTTCTGAGGTTTTTTTTATTTAGAAGTGCCTTCTCTATTCTGAATATTTTTTTTAATTTTTTTTAAAGATTTTATTTATTTATTTGACACACAGAGGAAGATCACAAGTAGGTAGAGAGGCAGGCAGAGAGAGAGGAGGAAGCAGGCTCCCTGCGGAGCAGAGAGCCTGATGTGGGGCTCGATCCCAGGACCCTGGGATCATGACCTGAGCTGAAGGCAGAGGCTTTAACCCACTGAGCCACCCAGGCACCCCAATTCTGAATATTCTTGTAGCTAATTATATTTAACTCTTTGAGACATCTAGAATTTAAGAGCTCCAAGCTGAGAAATTTATTATAGGGTATTGTCTTTAATTGCTTTTATAAGTGGCATTTTTTCTTTGAGTACATGTTTTAAAACTAGTGGTTGTTTGTACCTAAGATAGCTATTGATTTTGACATATTAATTTCATTTGATCTGAGTTATTACTGAATTATCTTCGACTGTCATCTCTAATAAACTTGTCCACTTCTCATTTTTTCTCATATCTAATTGTACCTAATTTTATAAAAACAATGTGAAGTATTAGTAAAAGCAGACCACTGTTTTTTAAAGCCGCCTTTAGAGGGGCGCCTGGGTGGCTCAGTGGGTTAAGCTTTCTGCCTTCGGCTCAGGTCATGATCTCAGGGTCCTGGGATTGAGCCCTGCATCGGGCTCTCTGCTCAGCAGGGAACCTGCTTCCACCGCCCACCTCCCCCCCACCCCCTCAACCACCTCTCTTCCTACTTGTGATCTCTTATCAAATAAATAAATAAAACCTTTAAAAAAAGAAAGAAGGTAAATCTCATCACATTTCTTTTCAGCAGTCCATGGTTTGTTGTAGTAACTTGAAGGATATTAATGGACACCCTCAAGGGGTTCTGCTGTATTTTATTCTGGTCTGAGCACTGACACCAATCTAGCATGGTCTTTGATACTCCACTCTCATCGTCAGTTTTGGGGAGGACAGAATGTTGACTTCACCGACAGACCTGGGCAGCTGTCCTCCGTCCTTGCTGGCTGTGGAGCAGCGTGCCTGGCCCCTGGGCTCTTCCCTCCAGGACAGGCCCATTTAGCATGTTTGCGGGACTGTTGCTCCCTTGACAGCCTTCTCGGTCTGCTCATTGTTACCTTTGCGATCCTTGCAGGTCGGTTTGGGTAATTCTTATTTCTCTAGAAAGTGGTTTATTTCGCTTAGGTCTTCAGATTTGGAAACTTAAGAAAATCAGCTTAAACCTGAGTGCATTATGACAAAAGAAACAGAATTACTTAAAATCTACAAAAACCAGGTCCGTGTAAGTTGGATTTTTGTTTGTTTGTTTTTCCCAGGCAGTTGTTTTTTTTTTTTTTTTTAAGATTTTATTTGTCAGAGAGGGAGAGCGAGCAAGCACAGGCAGACAGAGGCAGAGGGAGAAGCAGGCTCCCCGCCGAGCAAGGAGCCTGATGTGGGACTCGATCCCAGGACGCTGGGATCATGACCTGAGCCGAAGGCAGCTGCTTAACCAACTGAGCCACCCAGGCGTCCCTTTCCCAGGCAGTTTTACCAAATATTTGCTAAACTCTCCCCTCCGTCATTGTAAAGCTTCTGGTCCTGAAGTGCACCCTTCCTGTGTTGCCCGCGTCGGGCTTTACTTTGTGACCTATTCAGGGCGCTTCCTGTTAATACGTGGGTTTACTCAGCAAGTACGTTCCGTCTCAAGCCGGCGGTCTGGTGCCACATTTGAAAATCTGTTTCATTCGTCTCTGCATGGCCTGTGTGTTCTGCCAGTATTTTGGTACATCCTTTTCTTCTAGAAAGTATCCGTAGGTAGCTGACTTGGGGTCTTTTTCTGTGAAGGAGACAAACAAAAATCTTAATATGTGTTTAAACTTGGAAGCTACACTGGGTATAGAATTTTCAGTTCAAATTTATGTTCCTTAGAGATCTAAAAACAATAGGTCTGTGTGTGCGTGCTCAAAACTGAGTTTAGGACACAACGTGTTTCAGATCATCTCTTCTCACCGCCTGTCGGGACCACATTTCACAGGCTGGCATTAGGTCTGTCCAGTTCCCCTCCCGGGTGGTAGGGTCTTTTCCTTTCTGACTCACAACACAGAGACTGTTACATTCACCTGTACTGAAATCTTGCCACATTTAATTTTGGCTGTGTGTCTCATTTCCGGAACTGTGTTGGTATTTCTGCTGGATGAGAAATGGGTCTCGTTATCTAATTTGTCCATATGTGGAAATTCAGCATATACTTAGGTAAAGAGTAGTTTTTAAAGAGGTTCTTAAATTCAGATTATGACAAAGCAAGTCATTGTTTGAGACTTCAGATAAGTGGCAACCCGTGTCCCCATGGTCCACCAGAGACCCTCCCTTCCCAAATTTCAGCAAGAGGGTGATGAACTGACAGAGGTCAATACCAGAAAAGTGTGAATTTCCCAAACGGGTAAGGATCTGGGTTGCAAACGAGTGTGGCTGGTTTATCTCCTGCCCTTAACAGAATCAGACTGCCAGCAGCGCCACGCTGCTGGGCGCCACACCTACCTGGGACAGCTGCGCAGGCAGATGCCAGGCCCCGCCCACCTTCCCTCGGCGTGGACTCGTGCTCAGGGCAGGCGTCCTTCCTGTCAAGCAGAGAAAGAGCATGGTACTTCTCTCGCAGCTGTCTTGTTCCAGGGGCTTTTAAGTCCTTCTGTCTAGAGAGCTGCGGGCACGGTAAGTGAGCTCATTCCGTGTGCATCTGAGCTGTGCGTGGGATGTGCGCCTCTTCTCTGCCGATATTTAGGTATTTGCAACCAAAGGGGTTTTTGTATGTTGTGTTTTCACAAGATTGTTGTGCACAGACCAGAACCCCTGAGGATGACTCTGTTCTTTCGGGCTTTAACTCACCTCCCCTTTCCCTTCTCTGCGCTCATCTTGGGCCTTCCAGGGTGAGGATCCACGACCTCCGCACTGACAAAATCGCCCTGTCGCTCTCCGCCCACCAACTGGGAGTCTCCGCGGTGCAGATGGACGACTGGAAAATCGTCAGTGGAGGCGAGGAAGGCCTGGTCTCCGTGTGGGATTATCGGATGAGCCAGAAGCTGTGGGAAGTGCACTCCAGGTAACGGGGCACTCATGGGATCCTGGAAAGTGGACTCTGAGAATAAAAGGAAGAAATCTACAGTTGCCCGGACCTGCAAATACACATCACAAGTCAGGATAAGAGAAGGCAGGGCAAAAGCAGGCAAGGTTAAAGAGGGCTTGGCTGCCTCTTGGAGAGCAGCGGGAGCTAGTGCTCACTCCCTTTAGCAGCTTTTATGAGACTCGAGCCCCGGGTGATGTCCACACTGCTTGACTTTGTCCAGCCCTGCCTTACTCGCCAAGCAGGCGTGTAATCCCTTTTTGTGCTTTCTGTGGTGACACATGGACTTGCCACCAGGTGGTGCCAGAAGGCAACTAAAACTCCTCCGCGGTGGCATTCCCAGAAATAGCTACGTTACGGAGCGGTCCACCCCCTCGTCAGGCAGCTCTCCTTGTAGCTCTGGCCCAGGGCACGGCCCCCGTCCCCTCCCCCACTTTCCAGCAACTCCGGCTGCTGCACTGGGCTGCCACTCCAGCAGATCTTTTTCTCTCCCTGAAAAGCTGTGTTTCCTCCAGGGCATCATTTGGGGGAGGCTAGGGTTGGTCAGGTCTTCCCCAGAATTTCCCTGTCCCGGCATTCATTTTCCTAACTCATTTGTAAATGTACAACCAGTCTTCAAACCTAGTTCGTGGCTTGTCCTGGGCAAGGCCCTCACTCCCCCCCGGGACACTGCTGGGCCTCACCTTTCAGTCTCCTGCCCAGAGCTTGTGAGCACATTAGGTCCTTCCCTGCCCATGCACGCAGCTGCTCTGGTTCTGCTGAGCCTCTGGTGCAGCCCTGCTGAGCATGGGAGCCTCCACTGCCGCCCTCCCCGTTTCCTCCAGCCGGTGCCCTGGACTGACAGGGCCTGACTCAGATCCCCCTGAACCTTCATTACTCTCAAGAGAACGTCTGTTCCAGCCACCCCCCAGCCATCCCAGGAGCAGCCCCTGCCGATCCTGCACAGACTGTCTCTGCTGTCTTCCCAAAAGGCCTGGCTGACGGGCTTTCGCTGCCCTGAGCCAGTGCCAAGTCCTGTGTCTCATCTTGGGGGCTTATAATGTCTCTCGTGCAAACGTTCGATTCTTTGGTAGGAGTCCTCCGCTGGCCGGCTCCTGCATTAGACATCTTTTATATCCTGTGTCTCCGGGCTTGGTGCTATGACCACAGGAGGCACTGGATGAAAGTTTGTAGAATGAACAAAAGCCTTTGCTACATTAATTTCTAGCCATTGTTGCAGAACACTGCAGCCCGACAGCACCTGCAGCCGTGGTAGCCCTCTGAAGCTTAGGAGGAGAGGGGCTTTTAGAACTCAGTCCCACACCCTGCAGCTGGGAGCCTGGCTTGGAGAACTTACCCAAGGCCGGCAGCCAGAAGAGGGGCTGTGCTCTGCCAGATGTGGCTAACCTCCTTGACGTCCATGTTGCAGGGTAGTCAGCTGGGGGCACGGGGGGCAGGGGCAAGGCAAGGCAAGACTTTGCCCCTCTGGGGGCCCAGGTTTGTCCTCTGGCAGAAGCTTGGCAGAGAGTTCTAGCATCTCTTCTGCACAACTTCTAAACATGGGAGATGCCCAGTTTCAGAGCATTTCCCTTTCCCACGGCTCGCTCCCGTCATGTTTCAGGCACCCTGTCCGTCACCTGTCCTTCAACAGCCACAGCCTCATCACGGCCAACGTGCCCTACGAGAGGGTGGTGCGCAACACAGACCTGGACAACTTCACCACTCACAGGAGGTCAGCGGGCTGGGGCTGCAGGGGTTCAGGGCAGACCATCGTAGTTCGACTCCGGGAGGAGGACCCCTCCCGGGCCCCCTCTCAGGCACGGCTGTTCTCAGGGCAGCTGCGAGCCCACGTGGCCATGCGGCAGTGCGCGCCTTGTGAGACCTCCCCCGGGATAGCGCATGGCGTGGGGCACCCGGGGCCGGGGCGGGAGCACCCCCCACCCAGCTGAGTCTTTCGGGATGTGTCCTGGCCTTCCCTGATGCTGACGCTTTCCACCCGCCACCCCACCGCTGGCCTCCCCGCACGCCGTCCCCTCCTCCTGACTTGTCTCCAGTCCAGGGATTCTGAGTGTCCGATGGCCCGTGGGCAGGAGGGGCCCGGGTGGGGTGCACGCCCGGGGTGGGGTCCGGCAGCGCCGTGCTAACACGCTCGCTGTCCGTGTGCTTCCTCTAGACACCGCGGGCTAATCCACGCCTACGAGTTTGCCGTGGACCGGCTGGCCTTCCAGAGCACGCTGCCCATCTGCCGCGCGTCCGCGGACACCGTGCCGGGCTACAACTATGACCTTGCACTTGCCTTTCCCTAGGACCGTGGTTAGGGGAGCACCTCGTCGGGGAGCAGGGGGAAAATGGGAAGAACCAAAGTGGATGAATTTAAAAAACTACCAAGGCGCTCTGCACCAGGTGCACTGGTCTAACCCACAGGTTCCTCAACTGCCTCTGCTTTCCCCCGCAGCCAGTTTGCTTCTCTGGAGCTGCTTATGGAAAGCTGGAGGTGGTCAGGGGCTGTGGCATTGACTCTGTTTTCTCTCCCTGACACTATGCCTCTGAGTGCCACTCACTGTCCCTCTTTCCTCCTGCATCTGCTGCCTGCTGCACAACTCTGGTCACCCTGTTTCCAGCCGGGACCCTCTCCCCTGGCTACAATGTGGGTCCCCCTCTGCCGTCTGTGCACTGCCGTGCAGGGCTCTGTTCCAGTGTGCAAGCCCTTTCCTCTCGGGGGGTCTGGGCTCGGAGATCACAGACTCACTCCGGGTGGGGGAGGGGGGTCCTTCATACCACCACCTCGTGTAAACCTAGGTGAGCAGTACTGTCTTTATAGTTTTTACCACAATTTATAATTATATATTTATACATTTACTGCATTAAGGACTGTTTACTGTGGTGTCCACAACATGTGGTACAAAGTAGATTATTTTCTACCTATTTGTTGCATAAACAGTCATCCTCCACCTAGGACGGAGAGCGAGAGCTGGGGGAGAAGCCCTTCTCCTAAACCACTGGGCTAAAGTGGGGCGGCACTGGGGAGCTCCTCCAGGTGACACGTCGCTTCCATTTCCAAAGGGTTAAGAGGGCAAACCATCGTATTACTCTTGATTTAGACTGTTCTGAGCAGCGACCACTAATATCCCTTAAAAACACTAAAACGAAAACCGACAGAACTACAAAGAGAAAGGCCATGCTTCTAGTGGGTGATCAACAGATATAATCATTCAAAAAAAAAAAAATTTGAAGGATTTACTTAATAGAATTTCCAAGTATGATCCAATAGAATTTTGTGCCTTTTTAAATATCCCTAGACCACGCACAGAAAACGGCTGTCTCAAAATCATAAAGGCAGTCTCAGATTCCACAAAGATACAGCCAGGCCCAAGTCAGTGACCCCCTAATGCAATAAAATGAGGTAACAAAGTGAAAAAGAAAAATGGAAAATGTGAACCCTCTGGGCCATGAAAACACTGAATATTACAACGCCAGGGGTGAGGCCAGAATGGACAAAGAGAAGTGGGGCTTGAATAGAAAGTAGATAAATGGCTAGCTGTCACCTCAAATAGTGACCCCAAAGGAAGGAGTGAAAGAAGGGTTGCCAACAAATCACAAAGTTAAACCCTACGCTTGCCCGTTCTACACTGGACCCGCTTTTTTAGAAAGCCAAAATAGACTTTTTTTTTTTAGGGAGCAAAGGGGCAAGTGGGAAAATCCTAAGCAGACTCCCTGCTGGGCACAGAGCCCAGCACAGGGCTCCGTCCCACAACCCTCAGAGCAGGACACTCAACCGACTGAGCCACACAGCCAACCCTGAACTATACAACTCTTGATACAAAAAACCACCAGGGGCTGTGAGAAACCGAAAAGGAGGTACTTAAGGCACACAGATTTCCAGGGTGGGGACGATCTGCCACTCGAATCCGAGAGAAGAACGAAGCTCTCCTACTGTACCCCAGTGTACAAAACTGGGAAATGCTGTGAGGTTTTGGAAGTATTTTCAGATTGATATTCCATCATTACAAACCTCTGTGCAACTTGACAGGACATCGGGCCCAGAGAGTCGCACCTGGAAATCGTCCCTGAGTCCCCAGAGCAACGCCTGCTTTCAGACAGCCTTCTGCTTCCTTTCAGCCAAATTACTTCCTAGATAAAGCTGGTCTGCACTTAGCAGATGAAGTATTTTATTTACTCCTGTTGTCATGTGGTGCTCTGACCCCCTCGTGACCTCACTCCGTAAGGTTTTCATCTCTCATAACCTTCGTGCGACTGGACCACTAAGTACGACACATTTTTCGTTTAAGAGGCAGGCCCTGCCGGTTTGAGTCCACCACTCATTCTACAGACGCGGTCTCCTGCCCCAGCTTTGCAGCCATGAAAGGTCATTGAAAACCCAGAAAATTTTACCAGAACTAGTTTTGAACTATTGTCATTCACAGCCAACAGCTAGTCCGATGTAAAATGTCACAATTACAGGGGTTTTCTTTCCTCCCCAACCTGTTTGTTTATAACATCTCCCCTTAAGAGGGCACCTGAGTGACTCAGTCGGTTAAGTGTCTGCCTTCAGGTCAGGTCATGATCCCAGGGTCCTAGGGTCAAGCCCCTCATGGGGCCCTCTGCTCAGTGGGGAGTCCGCTTCTCTCTCTGCGCCTTACCCCACCGTGCTCTCACACTTGCTCTTAAATATTTTTAAAAAACAAATATCCTCCCTTAAGGAAAATTGCCTGGTTTTGTGAAGGAGGGCTTATCAGATCTAAACTCAATCTCAGGCAGTGTTTTCTGCTGCAAACTTTACACCCTGGAAGGTGCGGAAAGGACCAGAGTTCCTCTAGAAATCAACATTACCCAGTGACTTAAAACCTCTCGGCCCCCGTCCACCTCTTCCCCTCACCCCAGCTTACCTTTATCCCCGTTGGCTAGTCTGAGGGTTTCTTCACAGGTTCGGAGTGAGCAGACGTATCACTTCCTTTCCTTCCATAGCTCTGCTGCTGCTCCGACTCACCCCCCTCCGTCTCCCCTAAAGAGAAAAGAAACTCCCGTGTCACTGGGGGAGCCAGAGGGCCCAACACCGGAGCTCTTGCGTCTTACAATGTTGTCTGCCTTCTGCTTATACTTCATAAAATGTATGTCTGTGGGTTCTAATAAATTTTTAAAATCTGGTTCTTGTTCAATTACTGGTCACCCTGGCCAGGCGTCCTGTGACCGACACCCCCCACCACCACAGTACCCCACCGCGGGAGGGCTCAGCTGGCTGGGCAGCCTTGTTCCACAGGCCACAGTGGAGTCGAACCACCCAGAACCACCGCTTCCAGGGGTTCCCAGCCCAGGATCCAAGAAACCCACAAAACTAGATGTGAAGTTGTACACAAGAACATTTTCTGGGAAGTCAGGCCGGCTTTCATCAGATTCTCCGAGGGGTCTGCAGACCCCCCCCGCCCCACCTGAGAATTCCCTGCCACTTGCTTGTGCCTTTTAAGCCAAGCCATGAGCTGCCTTTTGTTCACAGTGTGTGTTCACAAGGTACTCTGGGGATGGTATCACCTTCCCCGGGAGAGAAGAAGCGGTCCCTGGCTCACGATGACCCCAAGAGGAGGTCCTCCACCCCAGCACCCAACTTCAGATTAGAGGCCCCACATTCAGACAGATGGCGCTTTCCCCTCTGCATTTATGTGACAAACACCGACTTACTGCAGACGGGCTGTGGCCGCCATTGAGGAGCAATGGCTTCCCCTCGTGTGGGCACAGCCTTCGGGCAGGTCCGTGTCCATGGGCTGCAGCAGGCGGCGTCTTGCCTCCCCATTCAGGGCCTCTGCTTCAGGCAGCAGCTGCGGCGTCCCGGAGCTTCTGGCCTTGGTCTGGCCGGGGCTGCCTCTGCCGCGTGGTGGCGGCTTCCCTGTCGCTGGGCTCCCGCAGGCACCAGGCAGGGCAGGCTTTCGACCTCCGATGCTCACTGCGGGCTTCAGGCAGCGGCCTTGCTACCCCGGCTTGGCGCCCAGGGAGGCAGGGAATGCTCCTGCTCCCCGCAGCACCGGGAGCTGAGCCTGGCGCATCTTCTCTTCCCCTGCCCGCTGCCAGGACAGACGCTGCCCCGTCCCCCCGCTGAGAGGGACAGAAGCTGCCACTCAGCATCTCCCTGCCCTGACTGCTGCTCTGGGGCTGAGGATGGAGGCGGCTGGTCCCTTGCTGACTTGGTTGGATGAGAGGGAGGAACCACCGGGCTAAGGTCATCTGCTCCTGAACCCCGGCTGGCACTTGCCTCCCGATTCTGGAAGAGCCCAGAGACAAAGGCAGTACTGATGCCCTGGGAAGTTGTGGTTCAAAAACAAAAACAAAAAACAAAACCAAAACCTGGCTCTTCCGGCTCCTCTCTCCAAGGCCTTCCCAAGGTCACCGTGTGGGAGGACAGCTTGCAAAGCAGGTGTTTGCAAAACCCTTGCCAAGACGACTTGTATTTTTAACTCTGTCAGCCCACAGAAGTCACTGCCATTCCTGGCGCTGCGGCTTAGCCTCGGCGGGCAGGTGTGGGGGGGCGGGCAGGGGCAGGTGCACAGGTGCCCCTGCCCCCCATGAGCAGAGCACAGAGAGTGGAGTTGTTTTGTTCAAGTCCAGCAAGAGGGTGCTTGGCCAGTATTGGAAGCTGGTGTGATTGTACGTTATTCCCTTACCCATAATTTACGTTTAACACGGCTGTAAGGATGTGTCCCCCGAGCCTCGCCTACCAGATTTCCATGACACAGCACTTTGGGGAACCTACCAAACCGATGCATTCACGTCAAATTGCCAGATCCTTTTAACAACCAAAAGCTGAGATCCAGGAACTTCTCCCGTGGATGATGCAGCGGCAGGGGATCGGGCCCCACGTGCGACCTGAGCGCTGACCCGCACGCGCGCCCTCCCCAAGCTCGATGCCCTCCAGGCACAACTGCACTTCCCTCAAATGTCTGACTTAGCACTGATTTCTGCCCCTTTCCTCTGAGCTGCTGGTGTCATTCCTGATGCACGGAGGCCTGTTCAACAAGTGCTCCCGCTGACTCACCAACCTGCCTATTTCAATACAAATTCCAAAACACACAACACTCCCTTCAGGTAAGTTGCCCCACCGAGCGCCTGGGGGCCAGCGGGGGCTGCTGGGCAGCCAGAAAGCCCCTCCCAGGCACACTCACTGGTCCAGCAGATAACAGATGCAGTTTCTGAGTCTTACACCCTTCCTCTGCACAGACCACACGGCCCCAATGGCCGTCCCAAGACCTGTCCCCCGTGCCTGCAGCAGCGACCTCCCTGCTAGACTGGGGGGAATTAACCTGCCCTTTCTAGAAGCCGGTCTGCACCAACTGACAGCAACCCTGATCACTCCCCCAAAGGACCGAACAAGCAAAACCTCCACCTCACGCTCTTAGCTCGCTGGGAGCCGGTGGGCAGGCTCCCGGACAAGGCTGCAGGCCACCCTCTGATGGAAGTCAGCCAAACCCAGTCCCTGGGTGACTTTGCCAGGCCCTGGGTCTCCATCTCAGTGGGTCCTAGGCTTCCCAGCAAGGCACAGTCATCCCCATCTCCCAGGAACACCTGCCCACCCCGGCAGACATCTGAGCCCCCACAAAGAAGCACAGAGGAGGAGGGGAGGCCCCCCGGCTTCAGGCTGAGAACACACCTTGCCTAGTGTGTTTCTAAGAGGTTCTACTTGAAACTCTGCTAGCTTGCCCAGAAGCTTTCCTTGAAGGGACAATCCTA